TTATAAAAAAAAGTTGTGTGTTTTTTATTTGTCCAACTTGAAGCAGCGCTTTTATAATTCACATATTGTAAGTTTAATCCAAAATGGTATCAAAAAATGTTTTTTGATTGTCTTCATTTCACTTGTGGGATGACCGGATGAGCGCAATTCTTACATGCAAGCTCTTGCAGATAATTACAAAAAAGACTATTTTTCATATTCCAATCAGTGATATTTTCATTATAAAAGAATAATTTTATTATTCTTCCGATTCGCCCTCTATTTTCACTTCTAAACAATATATATATATATATATATATATATATATATATATATATATATGGAATCAATGATTAATATTAATGGGGTTTGCATCTATCATGTCACATGACAAAAAAAGTTTCCTATGCACACAACATTTTGTGGAGCCTGCACTTTTTGAAGCAAAAAAAATAAAAAATTAAGACACGCAAAACGAATCTCTGTAACATTACACAATCACTTTTCCTACAACATTACGCAAAACTCAATATTAATTGTTGGACATCAAACGGCCGAAGAAATAATTTTATCATATATGAGTTTTATATTGTAAGAAATAAATTTATTTCCAACACATACATAAAATTACGTGGGATCTATATATTTTTTTTCTCTCTTCTCTTCACATGAACTCACATAAATTTATGTATGTTTAGAAGATAAATTTATCTCCTATAATATTAGAAACGTTTAATCCATAGCAAAAAATTTTGTCACATTGTTTTTTTTTTCTACAAACACTCTGTCACATTTTTACACTCATATAAAAATGAGTCATCCTATATATATATATATATATAAAGAATTTAATATCTCTTATATTATATGATAAAAATTTATTTTCTAAATATATATAAATATATATAAACTTATATTATTTTTTTCTCTTTTCTTTTTACAAGTTTCAGATACTTTTTTTATAAGAGTTTTATAAGAGTTATGTTGTAGGAAAAGTGATTGTGTAATGTTATAGAGATTCGTTTTGCGTGCTGTAATTTTTCTTTTCTTTTTTCTTTAAAAAATGTGAGCCCCACAAAATATTGTGTGTGTAAAAAAATTTGTTATGTCATGTTAAATGACAAATACAAACCTCTCTTTATATACATGTATATCATAATTTTATCTTATATAAGATACATGACATAAGAAACATCGTATCCATATATAAAAGGGAAAAATAAATCTTATGTTGTAGGAAATTTTAATCTCATGTCATAGATACATCATGTGTGGGACCCATCTATTTAAAAAAAAATAAAAAAAAATAATCAAGGGGAAGGATATTGTGACAACCAAGTTATGTTACACCCATGTGACACCCAATCAATCTCACCGTTAGATCGATTATGTTGATCCAACGGTTATATTTATTTCCATCTTTGTATGGTCATGATTTCTCAAATTTTAAACTTTATATTTATTTTCACCTTTATATAGTTATGATTTCACATATTTAATGCTTTCACTTTAAATATGGGGAATCATGATCATACAAAGATGGAAATGAATATAACCGTTGGATCAACATAATCGATCTAACGGTAAGATTGATTGGGTGTCACATAGGTGTAACATGACTTGGTTGTCACAGTATTATTTTCCAATAATAATCAATGACACACCTTTTTATGATATATGTAGGAAAAATTTGTTTTCTAATACAACATCAGAAAAACAAACCCTGTATAAAATCATCACATTAAAAGCAAAATTATGGGAGTTGGTACTTCTCGTCAGCTCCTAGGTGGTTATGGCAAGTTTGTCTGCCGTAAACACAAAAAGTGAAGGAAAAGCAGCATGTTGCATTTCGTAAGAAAAGAAATAGGACAGAGAGGAAAAGACAACGCCATTCAAGAGAGTGGGTAAGAGAGAGATAAAAAAAAAAATGAGATTTTGCCACAATGGAAGTATTTAGAAACCCAGCATGCAGTCCATGATCTTCTTGAATATTGGAAAAGAGAAGGAAACAGAGCAGAGGGTTGGTTTTCTTTTCAAGCTTGTGTGAAAACATAGAGTAAAAAAGTCAAAGAAATTTTGGATGGAAAAGAAGAAGCCGCATTTATAAGTATGTGAAAAGAGGTAACTTTTCCTCATTCTGAGCTTTTAGTTTCTTTGTTCTTTGTTTTGTCCTTTCATGTGTCGTTTGGATGCATATCAGTACATTGAATGAATGAAAGTTTTATTAAGAATTCTTGATACTGTGACTTCTGTGCATTTCTCTGATATGCCAAAGTTTGAGACTTTATTTTCCATATATATCTATATTTGCTTGATTTCAACTTTTCCATGCAAGCTCAAAAATCAAATCTTGACACAAACAAAGAAATTTCATCTTTCCATACCCTACGCTAATTCGTAACGCATCGCCATGAACATACCATTTTGAACAGGGGTGTTCATAAACCGATCCAAACCGATTCAAACCGCAAAAATCGAACCGAAAAACCAAAAATCGAAAAACCGAAAACCGAAAAAAACCGCAAATATTTACTGGATTGGATCGGTTTTCGGTTTGGATGTTGAAAACCGATCCAATCCAAACCGATCCAAACTTATTTTCTACCAAATTTTTTTTTTGTTAATGTAGTATTCATGCCAATGATCTATGTATGGGTAAGAAGAATTCAGTTTTATGTTTTAAGTTTACTATGTTATGGAATTTCTGGATTACTTTTGTTAATCTAGTATACATGGCTAAGTTTTTTGTAGAAGCTGTGTTTTGGCCAGTGTTCATAGTGGCCACTTTTGCAGCCATTATAATTTATAAGTAGTAAAACAGTGATTTCTGTAAAAGAATTCAATACTTTTTTTATTAGAACATCGATCAATAATTTTTTTTTATTAGTGATTTTGGAAGACTTATTATTACGGTATTGTCAAAATTTTCTGCTACTACCAATACAAAGGATCCATGACAAATAATACTACTCATTTTTCTAAAAATAATTCTTATAAGTTCTGTTTTTTTGGCTTTTCAAAAAATCGAAAACCGATCAAATCCAAACCGAAAAAAATTGGATCGGATTGGATTGGATTTGAAAAAAATTTCAAACCGATCGGATGATGTAATGACCAAACCGAAGGAATTGGATCGGATGGTTTTTTGCTTCAAAACCGATCCAATCCAGACCGCGAACACCCCTAATTTTGAATCCCTGTTTCTGTTCTAGTCACCTTTTCCCTATTTTCAACTTCCGGCCTAGCTTTTCCCAGGAAAAAATATGGGGATTAAATGATTAATTTTATCATTTTAATTGAGAATATTTTCTCATCTTATATATACGATATATGTGGGATCCAAAACAAAGTGAAAAAAATATAAAAATCAAGATTAGTCATATTTTTTAATTATGAGTGTAACATGAGAAATTTCTCTAGTATAAAATGAAAAAATTATTTCTCAAAAAATAGTTGTACTTTTAAAAAATATAATTTTGTGTCATTTTTTATCCTAATCATTAATTTTCATCCATTAACGATTAAAATTTATTGGGTCAAACTTATTAATTAATTAATAATATACAATAAAATTCAATAAATTTTAATCATTCATCGACGGAAATTAACTTTTAAAATTTAAAATGATATAAAATTATATTATTAAAAAAACAAATATTTTTTCCTTAAATAAATCATGTTATACGCCAAATGGAAAAAAATTATATTAAGTTCACATAAAATTCAAACATATAAAATAAAATAAAAATAAGAAAGCTGAAATCAAATGTGCTGCCCAATTTTCTAAAATATTCTTTTCTCCTTAATTTTCAATCTAACATTTTTCCTCAGGTCCCTACAACTGTTCCACCGCCAAAGACACTCCTTTTCATTAGTCTTCTCTTCTTATTTTACGTCAAATGTCATACATGTAATATATTAGAAATATTATTAAAAATGTAAACAAAACTAGGTAAAATAACATAAAATCAAATCAAACAAAACTAAATAATAATGAAAGAAAGAAATAAAGCATATGCAATTTTCACATCGCATCAAAGTTCCTCGTGAATCCACATCCCTGTACGAAGAAGTGACACATAGCAACTCTGCACCAAATGGAGGCACATCCAGAGTATTAATTCAGGCGTCTCACTTCCCAAGGGAGACTCATATATACCATAATAGTTTCATCTCTCTGCTCTCAGAATAGGGGAATAGCTCCTAGTCTACAAAATTTTAAAGTCCATTTATATTAAAGGAATTCTATTTTCTTGTGTGGTATAAGATAGTTATCTTTTACTGTAGACACATGATATGGTGGGGTCCACCACCTATTTAAAAAAAAAAAAAAAAATGATAGCACAATTATTAATATGAGAACAACATAAGATAATTATCTCATGTAAAATGAAACAATAATTTTCCTATATAAAAATTGTTTCTATCTTTATCTTTTTCTTTATTCTTATGCATTTTCCATTAAATATTTGGGACTCTCTCCCAGATTAAAATTGGGTTATATTTATCTTATGTTGTATAAGATAAATAAGTTTTCTACATATATAAAGTGGATTTTATTTTGTATAAGATAAATAAGCTTCCTACATTTATAAAGTGGAGATGAGTCTCATATCTATTTTTTGTCTCTCCTTTTACACGTGGATCTCATTTATAATTTTATTTTTATAGGATAACTATTTTCCTAAATATAACCCATCAAAATTTGTATATAACAAGTTTTTTTCTGAAGGTAAGATCTTTTGACACCGATGTCAAATTTTAAATTTGACACCTTATCTTGTAGCCGTTATATCAAAAAAGATTAACGACTCTGATTTGTAAGCATGTAACTCCATTAATTTTTTTGATCTAACGGCTATAAGATGAGGTGTCAAATTTAAAATTTGACAGCGGTGATCCTACCTTTTTTTCTGTTATGCATCACCAACTTTAAGTTTACAATTTCATGCAGCCACTGTTCATGCTAGCTCTACCCTGAAAACACTTTCGCTTACTTTCATTCACTAAGCACTCCTTCAATGGAGTCATCATTGGACTCCATTATCGAAGTTAAAGAAGAGCTCATGGTTTCACCGTCATATGGGGGAAACCCAACTCGCAGAACTGCCTTTTTTCTCAAACCTTGTATGAGTAGCATCAAAGAGTCAGCATGTGACTTTCTTCTTCCCCTTTCCAAGGCCACTTCAAATCCTGCAAAGCTGCCAATTAAAGTGAGATACAATGGATGGAGAAACCCACAAGAAGAATGGAAAACATGGGTCCAACAATTGCAACCCAAGTATGAATATCTTTGGATAAAAGCTGGGGTAGACAAAGCCATCAAAGCTTCTACATATGAAATCCACAGGAATGATGAGTTGATACTTGAGCTTGCTCAAAGATGGTGTTCAAAGACCAACACATTCATCTTTCCTTGGGGAGAAGCAACCATCACTTTGGAAGATATTAAGGTTTGTTGGGGTTACTCCGTTGTGGGAGCTCCAGTTTCTAGCCCTCTTGAGACCAATGAGCAAAAGGAAACAGAAGCGGAACTAGTTGCTGCAAGAAGAATCTTTAATAGCACTAAAGCCAGAAAGGTGGTTCATAAGCCATGGATGATGCATTTCATGGAGAATGAAACCAAATTGGAGCACGAGGCTTTTTTGGTTCTATGGTTGTCAAGGTTTGTATTCCCTGCAAATTCACCTGACACCATTTTGAAAAGCGTTTTCCCTATTGCCATACATCTAGCTAGAGGGATTGAAATGGCTATTGCTCCTGCTGTTTTAGCAAGCATTTATAGGGACTTGAGTTTGCTCAACAGCAAAATCAACAGTGCTAAGTTCAGAAGTAATCTAGCTCTATCTCTATGGGCTCCTTTTCAGTTGGTTCAAATATGGGCTTTGGAGAGATTTCCATCACTGCAGCCTCATCCACATCCAATTGAGCAAGGCCAACCAAGGATGGCTAGATGGGACAGAGTGAAAATGATGACAAATAAAAACTTGAAATTGACTTTGGATTCTGCTGGAGCTAGAAATGGCTTTATGTGGCGACCATATAAGAATTCACCACCCCTAAAGGTCTACAATGAAAATGACATGTGGGAATGTGATAATCCTTCTTTGGATAGGGAATTGCTGTCCTTTTGTCGATGCTTGAGGGTCTCTGAATTGGAGGGTATGGGGTGTATAGAGCAGTATCTTCCACATCGTGTTGCTATGCAATTTGGAATGGATCAGGACATTCCTGCTATGGTTGCTCGCTGTAAAAAGGATCCTTGGATAAGTTATAGCCAGCCAATAATGGATACAAATTTGTGCATTGCATTATGTGCTTGCGAGCAATATCTTACTTCAAGGTACTATGATTGGTGGAAGCAATTAAAACCTGGCAAGGAAGGAGATACAGTAAAGGGTTGTGATCAATGTGAAGTTAAATGCTTTGATGATGAAGTAGTTGGACATGGCAAGGCTTTGTTTAGTCCTGAATATGGTGTTTTTCCATCATCAAAGTTGGATGGTGAAACAGCTGGATCAAAAAGTAAGGATGTTGTTCTTAAAGGATCAATTAGTACCAAGAAAGATGGTCAAATAGAAGATGCTGTTGGGAGTGTAAGAAGGGTAAAGAATGATGGGAATGAAGCCAAAATCAAGAGTTCATTTTGTTATATAAATAGTGCCAATGGCATGGAAGGGGAAGGTGTCAGTCCTTGTGTAGCAGAGATAGCATCTAATCTTGAAAACCGGATTTTGAAGCTTGAAACAGTGGTTGCTAAGCTTAAAGCAGCGAAATTTGGTGTTAAGACAAAAGAACTGAAAGTTTATTTCCGACGCAAAAAGAGGCTGAATCCAAGTATTGTATTTTAAATCATGTTATCCCTATTAGTTTATATCAATCTATTGTTTATATTTCATATTATGTTATCACTTATCTGAATTAATTTATCTCAATCAGTTTGTTATATTTCAAAATTATTTTATCTCAATCAAATTAGTGATAACTCAAATTATGTGATAGAAAAGCAAGCAATTAGAACTTTTTCTTTTTATTTTTAAACACTACTGTCTACTACGAAGGAGAACATTGCATAGCCCATCAACGATGGCCTATCCCCACCAACCGGTATTAGGTGTTAACGGCTAGAGTTGTCAAGATCGGTGTTCTTTTTTACTAAAATAGAAGAAAAAAATTTCTTTTTTATCCATTTCTTTTTATATTTTTCATTAAGTTCTGAAAATTTTCTATTTTTAATAAAAGAGAATATCGAGTTTAGCAGTTACATTAAAGTTTTTCTCTTTATGTGAGTGCACCGACAAAGGGCTCCTAAATAATTAAGGTTTTCGTGGGCAAAAAGTTCAATAGGTTAGGATCAACCCATAAGTCATCCTAAATTATAATTTTAAAAAAATAAATAAACGTTTAATATTTTTGTAAAATTTGTTTTTTTTTTTAATTTTTTTGTTTTATAAAATAATATTTACTCACAAATATACTAGTGAAATGTAACCACATTTTTAATTATTTTCCCAATAATCCTTGAATAGATTATTTTATATCAAAATTATTAAAGTTTTCGCTTCTTATTATATCATGTAAAAAGGATATTTATTATCCAGTAATATTTTCGGTGGAGATTTTTACTATTCAATAAAATTTTCAATACATGCAAAAAAAATTAACGATTTCATATTTTCAGTAAAAATTAGTTAAATAAGAATTTATATATATTTTATTAGTCCTCTTTAACTTTTTCATTGTAATAACGGTTAGCAATATGAACGTTCAAAAATTAATTTAAATACTTTTTATTTTTCATTTTATAAATTTTGTCAATAAAATAGTGATTATTGGTATGTTATTGAATGGATGGGATTCATATGATATAATCATGTTAAAATTAAATATGAGGGGATCAATTCTCATGGACTTATAATATTAATTATTAATTACTAAGAAAATAACTTTTTTTTAACAATTCAGATGGTTGGATTTAAATTTAGATGACTCAGAGAATGTAAATATATATTTTAATACAAGTTTATCTCTTTTATATTATTTAAATTCTAATATAAGTGCATTTTTAAGTACTGAATTTATATATTTTAATGTTATAGTTAATTTTTTGCAAGATAGAATATAATTATAAATAGAAAAGAAAACTTCTTTCACTTAAAATAATTCAAAATAACAACCAAAATAAATAACTAAATTATTATTGAATAGTTAAAATATATACTTATTATATATTTTTTATAAAATTATATATATAAAGTATATTTTCATTATAATATTATCTTTATAATTATTTAAAAATTTATATAATCATATATATATATATATATATTAAACTAATCAAAATTTTAATAAAGAAACCATCAACATCACATTACCGAAAAAAAAAAAAAAAACCATCAACATATATAGTACATAGGTGACCCATGCTTTATGTATAAAAAAAGGAATAAAAAAATTGACCGGTCAATAAACCCCAACCCAACCTATTAAATCATTGCTTTGGGTGTTAGGGACTTAGGGCTAGAAAATACGCTACCACAAAAGTGGGGTTACTGGGTTAGGGTCATATAGGCTACAGCCCATAATAGTGGCTGAAAAACTTTTGTCTAATTGGAATGCATTTGACCAATTTGAATATGAAAATGCCACTTCCTTCCCTCCTCGCCAAGCTATCACAACTAGAACTATCCCTGACTATTAATTAGGTGGCCTTCAAAAATCTTGCCAGCCAAGTTCATGGACTTACTTCGAACAACCTACGCAGCTTGTTTATTATCAAACCTCAATTAGGGATAAAAGATGCGATCAGGATTGTCGATCAGTTGCATGCATCAATCGAGAGCAAGAATGAATTTGTTGCACGTTTTAGGATTGTTAAGCGTCACTTCAATCCAAAATCTTAAGACGTTAGACGAGGATTTTTTTAATGATTTATATTATATTCTCTAACAAGGATCGTGATATGGCTGTGCTTCTCTTGCTAGGCCCAAACTCTCACGTTGAGCCATCATATTATGGGTAGGTAATGGGTTTTTGATAATGAGTAAAATATTTTTCAGTAAACCCAATATTATTTTGGGACGAAAATCAAGTTATTTTTGTATTTGTAATATGGGGCACGATATACTTACCATCAAAAAAGTTTACAACCTTTACAACCAACCTAATCACCGTTGATTTCTGTCAATCTAACGGTTATAATTTGTTGAGAATAATAATTAATTAATAATGCGATATAATAATTTCTAATATATTATAACTGTTAGATTGACAGAAATCAATGGTGATTAAGTTAGTTGTAAAAGTTGTAAACTTTTTGTGGTAAGTATATCATTCCTCTTGTAATATATTGTAGAATTATATTTTAGGTATTTTTTTATAATTTTTTTAATATTTTAATCCAAAACGATATCATTTTGAGTTCCGAAGATTATTTTATGTGACCGAAAAAAATACCTGATTGCCTCAGTTGCTAGTTCTCTCTAAAAGAGGGGAGGAAATTTCATTCAATATTTCCATTTGACCTTTGGGGACTTGGCCAACAAGAACATTGGTTCGTGCGATCCTTCTTTTCTTAAACATGGCAGAAAACTTTGGGAATCAGATTTTACCATTCCCACAAATTGCATCAAATGATCTATCTAGAAATGAAATATCAACCCATTTAAGGGATTGAAAGCTATATATACAGTGACCTAGAATGAGAGTTTAGTTAGATAGGAAAGTTAAAAAAAAGTTGTTTGATTGGGCAAAATATTACTGAAAAAAATTGAGTGAAATTCCTGAATCTATGTTTGGTTGAAGATAAAATATTTATGGGAAACCAGGCTGAAATTACAAAATAACTCTAATGAGAACTAATGTTGAAGTCATCAAAGGGTAGTTTTGACATCTCCCATGTTCACCTTTTTCACTTAGCTAGCTATCACTCAAATATCACCCTCCAAGTAGGATTTGAGCACCATATTTTTAGTCCAATTTTGCATATAAAGTTCAATTGCTAGGCAAATGGGTTAGCTAGACAAATTTTTAAATAACCTCTACCAAACATGGACAAACTACTTACCCACTTTCAAATGTATAGCAATATTTCAAGATGACATGTACCAAACACACCTTAAAGGTGTAAACGTCAAGCTAACCCATGTTGAGAGGAGGGGTGTGTGTAGAAAGGGGGTCACTTATTAGGATTGTGTGCAACAACTTGTAAGCATTAGCGGAGAAGCATAAAGATCCCTTCTGTTGGAGAGAAGGAGGTTTATATAGAGGGTGGAAGATTCTCCTAGTGTGCAATATAGAGGTGTGCAAAATAATCAAAAAATTGAATCGAACCATGAACCGAACTAAATTGCACTTAAAATAACCGGTTTTGAAAAATCAGTTCATGAATCGAACCGGTTTTTAAAGAACCCGTTCATGAACCGAACCGATTTTTAGAACCAGTTTAAGGCCGAACCGTTTCAGAACCGAACGAACCATTTTTGAACCGAACCAAATTGATTTTTATAATTTTATTTTTTAATTTTTTAATTTTTTTCTTTTCAAAATAGGTAGACCCGAACTGATTCCGAATTGAACCGAACCAGTTTTGGACCGAACTGAACCATTTTCGAACCGAACCATTTAAACCGATTTGGTTCAATTTTTCTAAAAATTTGGTTTGGTTCTATCCATGCACATCCCTAGTACAATGTGTGACTAGGGATGGCAAAAATGAGCCAACCCGTTGCCCGCAAAAAATGAGCCGGGTTGGGTTGTCAAAAATGAGCTGACAACCTGAGCCTACCCGACCCGAGCCAACTTGAAAAAAATCGAGTCAACTCGCGGGTCAAACGTGTCAGCTCGCGGGTTATCTTTTTTTTATTATTAAAAAAGTACAAAAGAAACCTAAAGGCTAAAAACGCATACGCAGCCGTCACCGACAAGAGCTACAACCACACCCACATCAAAGGCCACCATCGTTCTTCCTCTCTCCGCCAGACAAACCCACAACCATCTTTGACTGTACACCCAGCCATCTCACCGCTGGAAACCACACTGTTGAATCGCCACTGCCCACCATCTGCACACCCACTGACCATCCACCGCACCACCACCAAGACCCACAAGCTTCAAAACCCTTGCCCCACCACCTTCTTCGGCCAACAACCATCGCGAGACCACCATCATCACCGATCCAACATATCTTGGAAACCACCACCGGCGAAGGCTCATCCTCATTGTCGAATAGAAAACCACCAGCCCATCACCGACAAGACCCATTCCCTTTAAACCTCAGGCCAACTTTCCTCACCGATTCACTTTCATACCAATAAGTATGTCTAAATTATTTAGAATGTTTTCTTAGATATTCTTCTAACTTTTCAGTATCCTCCCTCCGAAATATGTCCGAAAGAGCACCACATGTTTATGTTGTTTCTTTAGAGATAGCAGGCACATCATTTGGAAAGATCTTTCCATTGATTTTATGGCACTTCTTCAGGCATTCAGCAACCTGAGCATAATGCTCTTTCTCATCTTGGGCCTTGTGTGCTTTCCTTAATTTCGAAATAATAGAGTGTTGTGCAGCAGTTAATGTAACTTGAAGTGTATGAGTGAACAATTTTTCGAGCCAACCTGCGAGCCAACCCTAACCCGGCTCGGGTCGGGTTGGGTTGGGTTTTCTGGCTCATTTTTTTTTCGAGCCAACCCTAACCCAGCTTATTTTTTTCGGGTTATAAACGGGTTGGGTCGGGTCGAGCCAGGTTGGCCCGTTTTACCAACCCTATATGTGACCTCAAAATTGTTATCCTAACGGGTCTTACCCGCATCTGTGAGGACAACCGATGCAATGCATCAAAGTAAGGGGAGA